ACACACACACACACACACACATATATATATATATATATATATATATAGACTTAATTTATTCGAAAATTATCACATAAATATGTTATAAAATCACTAGAAAATAGCCATTTTGTTTCAACACTACTGGTGTTTTGAAAAGTGATGGTGTTCATCCAACGCCATCACTTCAGACGAAGTGAAACACCAAATGCACATTTATACGTCCAGCAGCTACAACATGGCCATAAACGTTCGCCTTAATGACAACTCAAGACTGCATGTAGCATGAATATCAAAGGAAATCATTTTGAAACACGACTGGTCTATTCTACCCCACCCCAATCCGCCATATTCACCTGACTTTGTGCCAACGGATTATGACCTTTTGTGATCGCTGCGAGATACTTTGGTGGGGAAAGTTTCTTTAATAAACAACCTATTCAAGAATTCGTGGAAAAGTTTTTCATATTACAATCTGCGGAATTCATCTCAAAATATCTCCAAGAGCTTCGTGATAAATGACAAAGATACCATTGCAAATAATGGGTAATAAATCTTCACCTTCTTCCCCTTAACCTTCTTCTTGTTCTTCTTGTTCTTCTTCTTGTTCTTCTTCTTCTTCTTCTTCCCTCCTCGTCCTTTTTCTTCTCCTCCTTCTCCCCTTCTTCTTCTTGTTCTTGTTCTCCTCCTTCCCTTCTTCTTCTTCTTCTTCTCCTCCCATTCTTCTTCTTTTTCTTCTTCTTCTAGCACGCAAGGGGTTACAGAGAGTTGGAGCGAGAGCAAAGAGGAGAGATAGAGGAAAATATGAAGAGAAAATCAAGGCATCTGGAGACGTCGATTGACATTACATTACATTTAAATAGTTGGAGATTATAGCTCTCAGGGAAACAGGAATAGGGGAGGAAGTTCCACAGGCGAGAAGTGCGAGACATGAAGCTATTGGAGTAGAAAAGACGGCTACATTTAACATTTCGACAGTGAAAGGGTGAGAGCGAGATGCCAGCCTAGTTGAACGCTTAAATTCATGAAGTCTGGGAACCAGCGAAAGCAGCTCCTCGGAGCAGCTACCATGAAAGTATTTGTAAAAAAGACAGAGGGAGGCGACGGCACATCTGTGAGAGAGCGACTGCAGATGAGATGCCAGATCTGGGCCAATTACATTGCATATCCGTCTCTAAATTTTATCTAGGACCTTGAGACAAACAGAAGGGGCTCCAGACCATATATGGCATCAATACTCCATGCAAAGTCGAATGGTTGATTTGTAGATTTGAAAGATCGACTCCTATAAAACAAAAAATTATAAATTAATACAGTAAATAAATATAAATATATGTAACACATTACGGTAAAGAGTGTGACATACATGTAAGTACGCCACTACAATTTCGGCTAAATATCCATTCGGTTAAAATGTCCGTCGGCCAAATGTCCGAGTATCATTACGAATATTATGTTTGGTTTAAAATATCTTAGCCAAGACGGTCTTACGGCCATATTACGTTGTAACACCGGTTCACGTAAGTAGAGACTATTTAGTTCCTAGATGAGTGGTCATTTGGGAATACCAGGTGATGTAAGCTAGGATTTGCGGTGGGTGCAATAGATCGAATGCACAGGGAAATCATCTTATTCTTACTCTTATGGCATCATTCTGGAAGTGCTGTATCACGAAAATTGACTTTCCCATACACCATAGCCGCTACATTTTCGGCTAAATGTTCGTTAAGTTAAATGTCTGTCGGTCAAATATCCGTTGGCCAAATGTCCGAGTACCCACCCTATGCAGTGTTTTCAATCCTATGGGGAGAGTTCATAGCTTGTAACTTTTATTTTCCACATATTTCATTCTGTCCCTTTTGCCTTCAATCAGTCTTCTGGGTATCAAATTTTCCAAGCCCTCTTTCTTCATTATGTGCCATCATGTCTCTTCCTGATGTTATATATAAGTGTGAGCTTTTTGTCTCGATTTTTTCTGAAACTTCGTCATTGTTCTCATGTTCGGTCCATACTATCCTTCTGTAGAACCACATATTTGTTGCTTCAAGTCTATCGAGAGTGTCCATATATGCAAATGACTGGATGGCTAAAAACAGAGACAGCTTTACCTAACCATTCCAGAAATGGGTTCACGGCATGCAGTGAAATATGTTTTTCTTTAATCATTTCACGTCAAGCAATGCCACTAGAACGTCGTGGTGGTGGTGGGGTAACAGGGAGTCATGTTTTGTTCTGGTGAGAAGGAAAAATAGTAGGAAGAAGAAAAAAAAATCAAACAATTGTACTGACCCCCAAAAGGAGGGGTATTGAGCAAAATTTCATGGGAAAATTAGCTTAGGGGGGAAGTGCTGTAATGTAATATCCCACACTCCCTATCGCCTATGTGGACTGACTATATCAATAGCTATATATAGTGAGAATAGCATATAACTCGCGGCTTGCTTTGGCAATGAGTCGTCTCCAGCTAAGCTAGTCAAACTCTCTGCCTTCGGGCAGAGAGCAACCCAGACGAAGCTATGCCGAAGGGCAAAGTCTCGTCTGGGGGTGGTAGACAGCTACCTGATCCCGTTTTTTACGGGGTCTACGGGAAGTTTTTGCCGAGCCTACGGGATCGGATACCCCATGTTAAATTCGGCCTTGTGCCACATCTGACCGCAGCGGTTGGCAAATATCCTTGCTTCGGCAATTAGTTGGAGATTCGTCTCCAGCTGTGCTGGTCGAACTCTCTGCCTCCAGGCAGAGAGGATCTCTAGACAAGGCTATATCGAAGGGCAGAGTCTCTTCTCGGGAAACAGCTACCCGACTCTATTTTATACGGGGAATCTTTGGCCGAGCTTACGGACTCGGATACCCCACGTTAAATTCGGCCTTGTTCCACATCTGACCGCGCAAGGGGGCTGGTAGATATCCTTGCTTTGTGAATTACTAGCCTGCCACCCGATTCTCTGTCTTTCAATAGTGTATTCTCTTTTACAATAAACCTCTCTTCTTTCATCTACGTGCGTGTTGCTGTTCTTTTACTCGAGTACCACCTTTGTCTGTTTGTAACCTCTTTAAGTATGCAACACAATGGTAAGATTGAGAATAGGGAAGACTGACGAAAAGACAAAAAAGGAACAGGGATCAAGAAGACAGAATATGGCGATTGATGTTGCATTTAAACTTTTGAAGATTGTAGTTATCAGGGAAGCAAGAAATGGGGAGGGTGTTCCACAGGTAGGAAGTGTGAGAAAAGAATCTGTTAGAGTAGAAGTGGCGGTTGAATCTCGCTTGATCAATAGTCAAATAGTTGCCATATTTATCACAACATTTCGGCCGTTGTATGCTCCGGCCTTCTTCACGTGGTTGGAATGTCGAACTGAACCCTTAATTTCGCTTGCTGGGATGGACTGTTCTAGTTCCACGTGCCATGTCTAAAGGATGTCATTTATAAGTTATCCCCTGTTAATTCCTCTCTCCAAGTTCTCCACTGCCTTAACCGGGTATTGAACTCACACTCTTTGGGTCCTGTCACTGGATCTAACTAACGCCTTTATTCACTGTACTATGTCTCCTATTTACATTGTTTGGAGTGTCATCCCCATCTTTGTTGCCATATTTATCACAACGTTTCGGCCATTGTAAACTCCGGCCTTCTTCAAGGGGTTGGATGGTCGAACTGAACCCTTTATTTCGTTCACTGGAGTAGACTGTTCTAGTTCCACGTGCCATGTCTAATCGATGTCAATTATCAGTTACCTCTTGTTAATTCCCCTCTCCAAGTTCCCCACCGCCTTAACCGGGTATTGAACTCACACTCTTTGGGTCCTGTCACTGGATCTAACTAAGACACATGACACAATGGATAAAGGTGTTAGTTAATAGATAGTTAATTAAAAGTCGCTGTGATAAATATGGTGACAAAGATGAGGACAATAGTCCGAACAATGTAAATAGTGTACATAATACCTCATCTCAGAAGTATAGACAGATTCTCACCAGAGCAGTTGCCACGAAAATATTTGTAGGAAAGACGTCTCGAAAGACACGTCATGTCCTTGAGAATGAAACTGAGATGCCAGGTCAGCATCGCTAACATTACGGACCTCCCTTTGGATTTTTTTTTTGACGAATTTATAAATGTACTAGCGTAAAAGCCGTCCTATCGGGCTCCATTTAAGCTAGCTCCTGAGGAGGGTTCTTTATTGGGCCTTCATCGCAATAGGTAAGGAGGAGTATATGCGGTAGGCAACAATAAACTACAGAAGAACTCAAAATTGATCGCTGTATTCAAGTATTGTATTAATATTTAAACTTACCTTTTAAAAGTTCAACGATAATTCTTTTACCTTAATTTAAAGACAGTTTGATGTAAGTAGGTCCTTATTTTCCGTACAAATAATTATTTTTATTTCATGGGGGGGGACTTTCGCTGGATTTCGTAATTACGATTATTCCCAAATTTATTTGCAAGTCCAAAACTTTCGTCGCAAAAAAAGCACGTAGAAAAATCTCCGAAAACAATGGCAGTAATGAAAATTTGCGGAATGGTTTTAAATTGACCACAAAGTCGGCCTGATTCCAATATGGTATAATATATTGGTCTATGGCCTCTAGGAGTAAAGTTGAAAAGCTGTGACGCACTGCCATTCGCATTTATTATATAGACAAGCAAGATTCTGACGAGAAAAAATTTGTGGCATCAAGCAATTGATTCGATATTGTTTCGTGAAATATTTAAACATCGTCATAGTGTTTTTGAAGCGTTCGTTTTCTACAAATATTACGATCTGATGAATAATGTATGGAACCTGAAGAGAATAGTGTAGTCAACTTGAAGAATCCTTGGAGGAGAAGACCAATGAAAAATAAAACAAACAAACCAAAAACATACAAAAAAAAAAAAAAAAACTGAACTTGCTGATGGTGTGGGCGTGAGTGGAGTTGTGGTTGGAGAGGTTGGAAAAAAATGTTGGAATAAAATCCAATAAGAATTAAATGATGTACAAAGAAAGGAAAGTGAAAAGTAGCTTCTTGTGTAAATGTTTGTGAATGTTTGCAATCGGCCTGCTCGGCAGGTTTTAGCTTTTGGTAAAAAGCATCCACAGAAACAAGGAAGGTTTGCGAGAATTTACAAGCAAGTAATTTGATTTGAATAAAATATTATTTGTTCTGTTTTGGCAGAAAGTGTTGTTAGTTTCCAGCAATATTCGAACATTTCGCTTTCAATTTTCGTTTTTTTTTAATTTCATTCTTTCTTTCTTTCTTTCTTTCTTTTTCCTGAATTCTCATAGTCTCTCTTTTTACCAGTATTTTCTTTTTTCTTTCTTTCTTTCTTTCTTTCTTTCTTTCTTTCTTTCTTTCTTTCTTTCTCCTGAAGTTTCATAGTCTCTCTTTTTACCAGTATTTTCTTTTTCTTTCTTTCTTTCTTTCTTTCTTTCTTTCTTTGAAGTTTCTTTCTTTCTTTCTTTTTTTCCAGTCTCTTTTTTTTTTTTCTTTCTTTTCTTTCTTTCTTTCTTTTCTTTCTTTCTTTCTTTCTTTCTCCTGAAGTTTCATAGTCTCTCTTTTTACCAGTATTTTCTTTTTCTTTCTTTCTTTCTTTCTTTCTTTCTTTCTCCTGAAGTTTCAGAGTCTCTTTTTTTACCAGTATTTTCTTTCTTTCTTTCTTTCTTTCTTTCTTTCTTTCTTTCTTTCTTTCTTTCTTTTCTTTCTTTCTTTCTTCTGAAGTTTCAGAGTCTCTTTTTTTACCAGTATTTTCTTTTCTTTCTTTCTTTCTTTCTTTCTTTCTTTCTTTCTTTCTTTCTTTCTTTCTTCTGAAGTTTCATAGTCTCTCTTTTTACCAGTATTTTCTTTCTTTCTTTTCAGTTTCTTTTCCAGCTGGTAGTTACATTTTATGTCTATTTAATGCTTAACCTTTTTTCGTATTTTTTTCCTCGTCATTTTTCGTTTTTCTCTTTATTTCCTTTCTCCTTCTAAAGTTATTTCTCCCTCTCTTCCTCTCTCTTGCTTTTGTTCTTTTTTTTTATCTTCTTGTTCACCTCATTTTTTTTATTCAGTCACTCTTTCTTTTTTTCTTCTGACTTCATCTCATATTTCCTCTAAATTATTCCCTGAACTTCCTTTCGCTTTTCCCTCGTTCTTTCTATTCCGCACATTTCCTTATTACCAACCCTCTGCAGCCGCTAATGATACTTACACAGCCAGTTAGTTTAATCTGAACCAAGTCCACAATGGCGGTAACTAAGATAGAATGAAATTTCTACCGCGGTGATATTGTACAACATTACTATTATACATACAGCTCTACGGTTGATTTTTGTACGTGATTTCATACATACATCTAAAGACTATATATGGTCCAACTAATATTATTATTATTATTATTATTATTATTATTATTATTATTATTATTATTATTATTATTTGTGCATGTGATGTTTGCTACTTTGTATCCTGTAGAGCCGGTTGCAAACTATGATCCTTAGGACCTATAGGAAAAGTGTAATTTAATTGATAGCACTTTTCTTAGTAGATGGGATCTTCATAGTAGGGTGATCTTCTGGGCAACTTGTATGTTGATGTTACCTGGAACACTGTTAATAAAATTGTCCATTCTTTTACTCACGGGACCCAGAGCTCCGATTACTATCGATACAGTCTCAGTCTTCATTCCCCAAATCCTGTTTATCTCGATCTTCAGGTCCTTGTATTTGGACAATTTCTCGATAATTTTTATGGCGGTGTTTCTCTCAGATGGTACTGTTATGTCAATAAGCATACACTTCCGGAATTTCTTGTCTTTTATGATAATATCAGGTCTGTTGGCTTTTATTTCCCTGACAGTTTGAATTGGCATATCCCAGAGGATAGTTACATCGTTATTTTGAGTAACTGTGTCTGGTTGGTGGTCATACCATCTCTCAGTGGTTTCGATTTTGTGCTTCATGCATATCTTCCAGTGGAGATATGTCGCTACCTTTTTATGTCTGTGGGTATATTCATTTTTTTGCCAGTTCCGGACATCCTGCTATAATATGGTCGACAGTTTCATCATATTTTCCGTAGATCCTGCATTTCGAGTTAGTTCCATCCTTGATTATATGACAGTGATAGTATCTGGTTGCGAGGCTTTGGTCCTGAGCCGTAATAATTGGGCCTTCTGTCTCAACTTTCAGCCCGGTACTTCTCAGCCACTGATGTGTTTTTCTGTTGGTCCACATTATTATTATTATTATTATTATTATTATTATTATTATTATTATTATTTTTTCTTTGATTTCTGGCGTTTACACATTTCTTTCCGGGTCCCAGGACCTAAGATTAAAATAGCATCATGACACTTTCCACTGACTAAAAAAAAAAAATAAATAAAAAAAAAGTTAGAGATAAAGCCCTACGTAAAGTGTGGGCTGTACTTCTCACAACAATTTTTTGTATCTCTTCGAGGCATGGACTTCCCGGAATCCCTTCAATTAGTCTACTGGGATCTTTTCCAACTATTCCTAGGGCTTCAACTACAACAGGGATTATTGATGTTCCCATCTGACACATTTTTGAGATATCTATTTAAAGGTCCTTGTATTTTGATAGCTTTTTGAATATCTTCAAAGATACATTGCAATCTGCAGAGACTGCCATATCAATAAGGAGGCACTTTTTTTCGTTTGTGGTCTTTAATAACAATGTCTGGGCGGTTGGCTTTGATTGTTCTGTCAGTGTGTATTGTGTAGTCCCATAGAATTGTAACAGGTCCTATATTATTATTATTATTATTATTATTATTAGTAGTAGTAGTAGTAGTCGTAGTAGTATTAGTATTATTTCCTTGGATTTCTGTTGTATACTCATTTCTTTCCGGATCCCATCATGGCATTTTCCACTGATCATTTTTGTAAAAAAACTAAACAAAACAAACTAAGATCATTTTAATCTCTTCGTACGGTGTGAGCTGTACTTGTGAAAACTTTTTTTTTTATTCCTTTAAGGCATGGGCTATCTGGATTCCCTTCAATGAGTCTATCGGAACCTTTTCCACTCAAATCGAGGGCTCCAACTACAACTAGAAATACTGATGTCCTCATGTGCCACATTTTTGAGATTTCCACTTCAAGATAATTGTATTTTGAAGGTTTTCAAAAATACATTATAATCTGCAGGAAATGCCATTTTAATAAGAAAGAACATTCCATTCTTGTGGTCTTTGATCAAGATATCTAGGCGATTAGCTTTCTGTATGTATGTATTGTAATACTAATACTAATACTACTCCTAATAATAATAATACGTTGTATTTCAAGGAATTTCATTTTGAAATCATCTATACTTCAGAGTGTATTTAATGTTTTACCTTTTATTTTGGTACATATTTCACATCATTTTTCGTTTTTCTCGTTATTTCGTTTCTCCTTTTAAATTTCTTTCTCCCTCCCTTCCTCTTTCGTGCTTTTGCTCTTTTTTATCTTCTTGTCCACCATATTTTTTTTTATTCAATCGCTCTTTCTTATTTAATGTATATATCGAATATTGTTATTATTAATATATATTAGGAGTCTCCCGTAATCGGGATCATCGAGTCAAATAGAACGATCCTTTCCTTAGCTGCATAATATGTAATTCGCCAAAAGTACATACAGTTTTGAATACTTTGTTTTCCTTCTCCTAGACCGGTTACCACCCAAGGTTATAGAACCCAGTCTGTTAAGCAGTCGACCATATTCGTGATCATCGAGTTATTGCGAACGATTCTTTCATTAGCTGAATAGTATGTGCTTTACAGGGCTACATACAGTTTTGAATTCAGAGATTTTTCTTCTCCTAGACCGGTTACCACCCAAGGCTATAGAACCCAATCTGTTAAGCAGTCGACCATATTCGTGATCATCGAGTTATTGCGAACGATTCTTTCATTAGCTGAATAGTATGTGCTTTACAGGGCTACATACAGTTTTGAATTCAGAGATTTTTCTTCTCCTAGACCGGTTACCACCCAAGGCTATAGAACCCAGTCTCTTAAGCAGTCGACCATATTCGGGATCATCGAGTTATTGCGAACGATTCTTTCATTAGCTGAATAGTATGTGCTTTACAGGGCTACATATAGTTATGAATTCAGAGATTTTTCTTTCCTAGACCGGTTACCACCCAAGGCTATAGAACCCAATCTGTTAAGCAGTCGACCATATTCGTGATCATCGAGTTATTGCGAACGATTCTTTCATTAGCTGAATAGTATGTGCTTTACAGGGCTACATACAGTTTTGAATTCAGAGATTTTTCTAGATTTTTTTTACCACCCAAGGTAATATAACCCAGTGCGTTCTACTATTTACCCATACATGAAGGTAAAGAGTTGCATTCATATATTTCCAACGGCATTAGCACGTAAATGAATGTATTGAACACGACTGAAATTCGAACTCGGCTCTCCGATTCCTCAGCCCTCGCGGCAATCCATTACTCTAGCGTGTATCAAAAATATTTTCATTTTTTACAGTTTACTTCACATATAAATGGTAATGGTAACATTAACTGTTTCCTTATAAGTAAACAATCTGCATTAATTGACCGAGCATTCAGTGCTGCTATCGGTTGAAATTTATAAGTTCTTTCTCTTAAATCAATTTTTCAGGAAAGTAAGTTTTTCAAATCTATTAACTGTTATCGCTCTTTCCACTACTGATGGGTTGGTTGTTTTGATTGTATGGAATATCGACCTCAGTGGGTCATTTAGTGCCAACAAATTTTTTGAAATAGATTCACAGCGATAGTTTGGTAAAAAAAAGGTGTGTATGTATACATATATATTTGAACCATATTTCAATTACTCATTTTTATGAGTACGATCCAACTTCTTTTAGGTAATTTACGATCTTGGATGATTTTATTTTCATAAAATGTTTTTTTTTTAAATACTCACTTGGTAGTATTTTGTTCACACTAGATCAAAATTTACACATAGTATATGTTTCACAGAAAATTTTAATTATTGCTTGTAATAATTTTTTTATTACAAAGTATTTCTGGTATTAAAACCTATTTTTACACAAGATTGGGCATTAAATATTTGCCCGTAGATGGCACCCTAACAGTTGCTACCACCCCGGGTCAGGGTGGACCTGGGAACGCCAGCAATTAAGAGGTGGTTCCACGCTCCTCAAAACCTCCTGATCAGAGGCTTTGCTGTTAGACGTTGTTTATCGTCTTACCCAAAGGAAAAAAAAACAATCAACTGAAGAAGTCTGGAGCGTACAACGACCGTAACGTTGTAATTAATATGGCGACAAAGACGAGAACAATAGCCAAATAATGTAAATAGTGTACATAATACTTCATCTCAGAAATATAGACAGATACTGAAAGGCCGAAATGTTTGTAATAAATATGGCGACAAAGACGAGAACAATAGTCAAAATAATGTAAATAATGTACATAATACCTCATCTCAGAAATATAGACAGATACTTATTGTTATTCAATAAAAAACTGTTTGGATGGATTCTTGCTGGCTAAAAACACTATCTATCTATCTATCTATCTATCTATCTATGCATATATATATATATATATATATATATATATATATATATATATATATATATATATATATATATATATGCTAATAGATCTGTTGGTATATAATTCAAGTGGATCCTAGTAATATAAAATATTATAACTGATCCACAAAAAGAATAATAAACAGTATTACAAAAAATCCCAAATTATATCATATGGGGTGATGGATCTATTTCAACTGTGAAAACTTTGTCAGTCTTATTCAACCCCGGTGTATAGACTGAGTTCGTGTTGGAATTAGATATTTAAGTTAAATGTTAAATGATGTTGTAACTTAGACTATGATAGGTATATTATTGGTCTTCCCTCAGCCTCCCCTTGGCAAGCAGTCACACAAGACCTCAGCCATTGCCAGTCAAGACACCCCACAAAACTACCTTCTTTAAGTTTGCTCAGATCACTGAGAAGAGAAATGCCAATTTGAAAAAATAAACTAAATACTACTCTGGTCAAACCAAATAAATCTGAAGATAGGCAGAAAATGTATCTGCCCAAAATGCAAAATTCCTTCAGTCAATACTTATTTCATGTACAAACTTATTGACATGCATGACAGGGAACAAATACACTTTCATTGAAGATATAGATTTAATAGAATTAAGAAAAAAACAAAAAAACATTTAAGCAAGCACACACACTTTATCAAATGAGACAGGTAAGGGAAATGAACAAGAACATGCTTTGATAGATTATGTCAGAAAAAAAAAAAAAAAAAAAAAAAAGAAAAACATGAAAAAAGAAAAAAAAGATGAAACAATAAAAGAATCTTCAAAGAAGCAAACTTATTATCAGAAGCAAACATACATGAGGCAATGAGGCAGAACAATTTATCCATCACAAAACAATTAGTTGGGAGACAGGACAAAAACGCTAATATATTTAGTTGTTAATCGTTTTCGTTTTTCACATTTCTTTCTTATTTCTTTGATTTGCTCTCTACTCTTGTTTGCTAGTTTCTTTCTTCCTTCCTTCCTTTCTTTCTTTCTTTCTTTCTTTCTTTTTTCTTCCTTCCTTTCTTTCTTTCTTTCTTTCTTACTTTCTTTCTTTCTTTCTCCGTTTATTTTTATTTTCTTGTTAATTAGTTTTGCCTTTCCCGACTCCAGTTACTGTCCTTCTCTTCTCTTCTCTTTCTTTCTTTCTTTCTTTCTTTCTTTCTTTCTTTTTCTTTCCCGTTTTATTTTTCTTTTCTTGTTAATTAGTTTGGCCTTTCCCGACTCAGTTACTGTCCTTCTCTTCTCTTTCTTTCTTTCTTTCTTTCTTTCTTTCTTTTTTTTTCTTTTCTTTCTTTCTTTTTCTTTCTTTCTTTCTTTCTTTCTTTCTTTTCTTTCTTTCTCCGTTTATTTTCTTTTCTTGTTAATTAGTTTTGCCTTTCCCGACTCCAGTTACTGTCGCTTCTCTTCTCTTTCTTTTTCTTTTTTCTTTCTTTCTTTCTTTTTTCTTTCTTTCTTTCTTTCTTTCTTTCTTTCTTTCTTTCTCCGTTTATTTTTTCTTTTCTTGTTAATTAGTTTTGCCTTTTCCGACTCCAGTTACTGTCCTTCTCTTCTCTTTCTTTCTTTCTTTTCTTTCTTTCTTTCTTTCTTTTTCTTTCTTTCTTTCTTTCTCCGTTTATTTTTTTTTTTCTTGTTAATTAGTTTTGCCTTTCCCGACTCCAGTTACTGTCGCTTCTCTTCTCTTTTCTTTCTTTCTTTCTTTCTTTCTTTCTTTTCTTTCTTTCTTTCTTTCTTTTCTTTCTTTCTCCGTTTATTTTTCTTTTCTTGTTAATTATTTTGCCTTTCCCGACTCAGTTACTGTCGCTTCTCTTCTCTTCTCTTTCTTTCTTTCTTTCTTTCTTTCTTTCTTTCTTTTCTTTCTTTCTTTCTTTCCGTTTATTTTTCTTTTCTTGTTAATTAGTTTTTTGGTTTTCCCGACTCCAGTTACTGTCCTTCTCTTCTCTTTCTTTTTTTTCTTTCTTTCTTTCTTTTTTTCTTTCTTTTTTTCTTTCTTTCTTTCTTTCTTTCTCCGTTTATTTTTTTTTTTCTTGTTAATTAGTTTTGCCTTTCCCGACTCCAGTTACTGTCGCTTCTCTTCTCTTCTCTTTTCTTTCTTTCTTTCTTTCTTTTTCTTTCTTTCTTTCTTTCTTTTTCTTTCTTTTCTTTCTTTCTCCGTTTATTTTCTTTTCTTGTTAATTAGTTTTGCCTTTCCCGACTCCAGTTACTGTCCTTCTCTTCTCTTTTTTCTTTCTTTCTTTCTTTCTTTCTTTCTTTCTTTCTTTCTTTCTTTCTTTCTTTCTCCGTTTATTTTTCTTTTTCTTGTTAATTAGTTTTGCCTTTCCCCGACTCCAGTTACTGTCCTTCTCTTCTCTTTCTTTCTTTTTTCTTTCTTTCTTTCTTTCTTTCTTTCTTTCTTTCTTTCTTTTTTCTTTTCTTTTCTTTCTTTCTTTCTCCGTTTTTTTTTCTTTTCTTGTTAATTAGTTTTGCCTTTCCCGACTCCAGTTTTACTGTCGTTTCTCTTCTCTTTCTTTCTTTCTTTCTTTCTTTCTTCTTTCTTTCTTTCTTTTCTTTCTTTCTTTCTTTCTTTCTTTCTCCGTTTATTTTCTTTCTTGTTAATTATTTTCCTTTCCCGACTCCAGTTACTGTCCTTCTCTTCTCTTCTTTTCTTTCTTTCTTTCTTTCTTTCTTTCTTTCTTTCTTTCTTTCTTTCTTTCTTTCTTTCTCCGTTTTATTTTCTTTTTTCTTGTTAATTAGTTTTGCCTTTCCCGACTCCAGTTACTGTCGCTTCTCTTCTCTTTCTTTCTTTCTTTCTTTCTTTCTTTCTTTCTTTCTTTCTTTCTTTCTTTCTTTCTCCGTTTATTTTTCTTTTCTTGTTAATTAGTTTTGCCTTTCCCGACTCCAGTTACTGTCGCTTCTCTTCTCTTTCTTTCTTTTTTTTTCTTTCTTTCTTTCTTTCTTTCTTTCTTTCTTTCTTTCTTTCTTTCTTTCTTTCTTTCCTCTTTCTCCGTTTATTTTCTTTTCTTGTTAATTTTTTTTTTTCCCGACTCCAGTTACTGTCTTTCTTCTCTTCTCTTTTTTTTCTTTTCTTTCTTTCTTTCTTTTTTTTTTTCTTTCTTTCTTTCTTTCTTTCTTTCTTTCTCCGTTTTTTTTTTCTTTTCTTGTTAATTTCTTTTGCCTTTCCCGACTCCAGTTACTGTCCTTCTCTTCTCTTCTCTTCTCTTTCTTTCTTTCTTTCTTTCTTTCTTTCTTTCTTTCTTTTTTCTTTCTTTCTTTCTTTCTCCGTTTATTTTTCTTTTCTTGTTAATTAGTTTTTTTCTTTCCCGACTCCATTTACTGTCCTTCTCTTCTCTTCTTTCTTTCTTTCTTTCTTTCTTTCTTTCTTTCTTTTTCTTTCTTTCTTTCTTTCTTTCTTTTTTTTTTTTCTTTTCTTTCTTTATTTTTTTTTTCCCGTTCCAGTTACTGTCCTTCTTTTCTTTCTTTTCTTTCTTTCTTTCTTTTTTTCTTTTTTCTTTCTTTCTTTCTTTCTTTCTTTCTTTCTTTCTTTCTCCGTTTATTTTTTCTTTTCTTGTTAATTATTTTTTTCCTTTTCTTCCAGTTACTGTCGCTTCTTTTTCTCTTTCTTTTCTTTCTTTCTTTCTTTTTTCTTTCTTTCTTTCTTTCTTTCTTTTTTCTTTCTTTCTTTTATTTTTTTTTTCTTGTTAATTAGTTTTTGCCTTTCCCGACTCCAGTTACTGTCCTTCTCTTCTCTTTTTTTTTTTCTTTTCTTTCTTTCTTTCTTTCTTTTTTTTCTTTCTTTCTTTCTTTCTCCGTTTATTTTCTTTTTTTTTTGTTATTTATTTGCCTTTCCCGACTCCAGTTACTGTCGCTTCTTTTCTCTTTCTTTCTTTTCTTTTCTTTCTTTCTTTCTTTCTTTCTTTCTTTCTTTCTTTCTCCGTTTATTTTTTCTTTTTCTTGTTAATTAGTTTTGCCTTTCCCGACTCAGTTACTGTCGCTTTTCTTTTCTTTTCTTTCTTTCTTTCTTTTCTTTTTTTTTCTTTCTTTCTTTCTTTCTCCGTTTATATTTTCTTTTCTTGTTAATTAGTTTTGCCTTTCCCGACTCCAGTTACTGTCCTTCTCTTCTTTCTTTTCTTTTTTTCTTTCTTTCTTTCTTTCTTTCTTTCTTTCTTTCTTTCTTTCTTTCTTTCTTTTTCTTTTTTTTGTTAATTATTTTTCTCCTCCCGACTCCATTTACTTGTCCTTCTTTCTTTTCTTTCTTTCTTTCTTTCTTTCTTTCTTTCTTTCTTTTCTTTCTTTCTTTCTTTCTTTCTTTCTCCGTTTATTTTTCTTTTCTTGTTAATTATTTTTGCCTTTCCCGACTCCAGTTTTCTTTCCTTCTCTTCTCTTCTTTTTTCTTTCTTTTTCTTTCTTTTCTTTCTTTTCTTTTTTCTTTCTTTCTTTTCTTTCTTTTTCTCCGTTTATTTTTTTTTTTCTTTTAATTTCTTTTTTTTCTTTCCCGACTCCAGTTACTGTCCTTCTCTTCTCTTTCTTTCTTTTCTTTTTCTTTCTTTCTTTCTTTTTCTTTCTTTTCTTTCTTTCTCCGTTTATTTTTTTTTCTTATTAATTAGTTTTTCCTTTCCCGACTCATTTACTGTTCTCTTCTCTTCTTTTCTTTCTTTCTTTTCTTTCTTTCTTTCTTTCTTTCTTTCTTTCTTTCTTTCTTTCTTTCTCCGTTTATTTTTCTTTTCTTGTTAATTATTTTGCCTTTCCCGACTCCATTTTTCTTTCTTTTCTTTTTCTTTTCTTTTCTTTCTTTTCTTTCTTTCTTTCTTTCTTTCTTTCTTTCTTTTCTTTTCCGTTTATTTTTTCTTTTTTTGTTCCTTATTTTCTTTTCCCACTTTTACTGTCCTTTTCTTCTTTCTTTTTTTTTCTTTCTTTCTTTCTTTCTTTCTTTCTTTCTTTCTTTCTTTCTTTCTTTCTTTCTTTCTTTCTTTTTTTTTCTCCGTTTATTTTTCTTTTTCTTGTTAGTTTTTTTTTTCTTTCCCGATTCCAGTTACTTTCCTTCTCTTCTCTTCCCTTTCTTTCTTTCTTTTCTTTCTTTTTTTTCTTTTCTTTCTTTCTTTCTTTCTTTTTTTTTCTCCGTTTATTTTTCTTTTTCTTGTTAATTAGTTTTGCCTTTCCCGACTCCAGTTACTGTCCTTCTCTTCTCTTCTCTTTCTTTCTTTCTTTCTTTCTTTCTTTCTTTCTTTCTTTCTTTCTTTCTTTCTTTTCTTTCTCCGTTTTATTTTCTTTTCTTGTTAATTAGTTTTTTTCTTTCCCGACTCCAGTTACTGTCCTTCTCTTCTCTTCTCTTTCTTTCTTTCTTTCTTTCTTTCTTTCTTTCTTTCTTTCTTTCTTTCTTTCTTTTCTTTTCTTTCTCCGTTTATTTTCTTTTTTTCTTGTTAATTAGTTTTGCCTTTCCCGACTCCAGTTCTGTCGCTTCTCTTCTCTTCTCTTTTTTCTTTCTTTCTTTCTTTCTTTCTTTTTTCTTTCTTTCTTTCTTTCTTTTCTCCGTTTATTTTTCTTTTCTTGTTAATTTTTTTCCCTTTCCCGACTCCAGTTACTGTCGCTCTTCTCTTCTCTTTCTTTCTTTCTTTCTTTTTCTTTCTTTCTTTCTTTCTTTCTTTCTTTCTTTCTTTCTTTCTTTCTTTCTTTCTTTCTCCGTTTATTTTTCTTTTCTTGTTAATTAGTTTTGCCTTTCCCGACTCCAGTTACTGTCTTTTCTCTTCTCTTTTCTCTTTTTCTTTCTTTCTTTCTTTTTTCTTTCTTTCTTTCTTTCTTTTATCCGTTTATTTTTCTTTTCTTGTTAATTAGTTTTCCTTTCCCGACTCCTTTATTCTCTGTCTTCTCTTCTCTTTCTTTTCTTTCTTTTTTTTTTTCTTTTCTTTCTTTTTTCTTTCTTTCTTTATCCGTTTATTTTTCTTTTCTTGTTAATTAGTTTTGCCTTTCCCCACTCCAGTTACTGTCCTTCTCTTCTCTTCTCTTTCTTTTCTTTCTTTCTTTCTTTCTTTCTTTCTTTTCTTTCTTTTCTTTCTTTCTTTTTTTTTATCCGTTTATTTTTTTTTTCTTGTTAATTAGTTTTGCCTTTCCCGACTCCAGTTACTGTCTCTTTCTTCTTTTCTTTTCTTTCTTTCTTTTCTTTCTTTCTTTCTTTTTTCTTTCTTTCTTTCTTTCTTTCTTTCTCCGTTTATTTTTTTTTTCTTGTTAA